TCATTTGGACTATGCCGACTGAATTTAAATAATGTATTTCATCATCGCCAGGGGGAGGTCGTTTGACAACAATTTGCCTAACATTGGGAGTCTCTTGGAGACACCTGCATAGGATGTTAACTCAACAAAGAGCTTAATTTACACATTTTAAATGTTAGGCCTCTTTCGAAAGACAAAATTACGTTCTTTGAAGTTTAAAAATTATTAAAACAAAATTACAAAACATTTCATCAAAATATCAAATTAGAGTATGATTTTTATTTTTTATTTTTATTTTTATTTTTATTTTTGTCTTGCATTTGTTCTTATTGTAAGGGAAATAATATTTCCTCTTTTATAGTTTTACATTTATTCTTTTTCATTTATTCTCATTGTAAGTGAAATAGTACTTCCTCATTTACTGCTTTCATTATTTCCTTATGTAACCACGGTATTCCTCCGTCACAAGTAAGAGAATATTAATAAAATCTTGGAGGTACTGTCCTCCTTTAACAAAAAAAAAAAAAATCTTCAACATTAAAGTCTGACTAATTTATATTCTAATTGTTCATGTTTGTCTTCAAAATTTGGTACACATTATTTTTTTCGTTCTCATTCTTCTACTCATTTTCAACCACACATTTTTCAATAAAATAATATTTTCCATCACATCAATAACTTTTCCTTCTTTTTCAACCACATATTCCTCGTCACATCAAACAAAAAAATGCATTCTTGNCATTCTCCATCAATTTACTATTCAATAATACATTCTTTCAAAAGAATGTGTCCCAAACACACTAATATGAGAATCTGGTGAACAATTATTAGAATTCAACATTTTGAATTGATATGAATATTTGCACTTCTGTATGTTTAGTTATGGGTTACATTTATAATATTATCACTAAATATCTGCTAAAAGAAATAATCTTACTATCAGCAACTGAAACAAATCAAATACACTTTAATGTAAAACTAATTACACTGTAAGCATAAGGATCTACATGAAATAAATTAGTTCTAAATGCAATTTTGTCAGCATCGTTGTCTTATCATAATCCTATGCCGGCACTTGATCAGTCGTCCTTGCAAGGTGCTCGTCTTCCTGTCCAACGAGCGAACATTAATGATCAATATCAATTGGTTCATGAACCTGTTACGTACATGCATGGACATATGGCAATTCAAAGTGATATTCTTCTATCTCCTCAACCTCTTGCGCACATTCGTGGTGATCAAACCAATGTTACTCTATATAATCCTTTGATTCCACCTGAGACTGGTATGCAAAGCAATGGTCAATATCAACCTATTACACACATGAATGGTGATGTGGGGACAAGTAGATTTGCTGCTTCCACTAGCAATGATGATGGTCATTACTTACCGCAATGTGATTTACCTTCTCCTCCAATAGAATGGCTTGATCTTGATGATATATCACCGCAATGGGATTTACCTTCTCCTCCAATAGAATGGCTTGATCTTGATGATACTTGATGATATATTCCGGTAATGGGATTTACCTTCTCCTCCAATAAAATGGGTTGATCTTGATGATATATTACTGCAATTGGATCCTCGTGCATTCAATTTTTCTTTAGGTGACTCGTCCAACATGCAGTTTCAGTCTGAAAATATTCATGGTATTGGATTCAGTAAATTTGATTGCGAATTTGCTGGATCTACACTTGAGGACAGAATGTGAAGATTTTCGATCAAGAGAAGAATGTCATTTTTGCAGTTTTCTAAGAGCTTAAACTTCGTTGATCGTGTAATGTTGCGGAAATATTAAATATCTGCTTCAAATTGTTCAATTTGTGTATGGTGTACTTTTATCTAAGCCAATCCATGGATTAATTTTTGTAGTTACTTGAGATAGAAAATTGTTCCTCGCACGCAAATATTAGAGTATTATTTAGTATTTTTCAATATTTGTTTTGAAAGAGTATTTCCAATATTATTAACTGGTAATTTTAATTTCATCATTCCATATATTTTGTTGCTCTCGTGCTATTTTATCCACTTTCAATTCTTTTTCTTACAAATAGTAATGAAATCAAAATGTAATATAAACATGTCTAGTAGAAAAATGATTAGCAATTGGGATTTTGAAGTTAGACTAGCTTGGGGTCCTGCCCAAAATTTTAAGGATAAATCTAAATGTACAAAATGTTTTACCTAATGTTTTACAAACTGGACACTTGGCGCCCCCCTGTTGGAGGTGGCAGGCGCCCCTCCAACAAGGGGGCGCCAAGTGTCCAATTTGTAAAAAATTAGGTAAAACATTTTGTAAGTGTAGCATGGTCCAAATTTTAATGGGGGCTTTCAGACTCCAATTCGTCTTAATTAGATTATTAACTTCAATTTAGTTTTATTGTTTCACTGAACTTCAAATTTTGTTTTGTTCTCTTTATTGTATTCTATATTGATTAAAAACTTTTAATTAGACTATACCGCAATAGATTTTTATATAATATATGTGTGACATGTCAACTAACCATTAAGCAACATTACAAGTGCTAAAATTGAGATAAAATGTGATAAGAGTGATAAAATTTGAAATTAAATTGATATTCGGTCATTAAATTGAGACAGATTTAGTATTTTTGACCGAATTGAAATTTTTTCTAAATGTTCAATGATGGATGAATTTTACCCTCGACAATGCGAAATCCAGCCAATGTTGTTTTCTATTTTTCATTTCTTTGATAGATACGAGAATGAACATATTATGCGGAAATCCTATTGGAGGATGATTGGTAATTGAATTTTGAGTGAAATCTCAATTAAGTCAATTAACTTCAATATGTTACGACTGAAATATTAAACTTCAATTCACTTTTAATTTAACCACTCTATTAGTTCAGTTACTAAACTTAACGTTCCAATCCAATGTGTTAAAAGAGGACAAAATCCAAGAAAATGTAGCGCCTAATTCAAAACTTGAAAATATAATGCCACTTGATGATTATGATATAGTGAGGCCTATGTATATCCTTGGTAAGTTCTTGCATGTTCTCATCCACGAATTGTTCACACTCTGCTGGCCATTAGTGTTCAAGCACAAATTGTTAAATGAAAACATAAACAAAATTACAGGGAGATAAAATTCATATGAAAAATGCACACACTTAATAAAATGACTTCAATAATGCATTGAGAAATCTTCTCGAGATATGAAAGTTCTTAGGCAAGGTGAGCATTTGTGATTAACACAACTATCATGAGATCGTAGAAATGTAAAA